AGTAGATTAAAGCTCTGGGCATCTCCCAAGCAGGGACCATTTGAGTCAGATGTGTCTGTGACTCTGGAAGGTGTGGGTTGGGCACTGTGGCAGACACAACAGGAGAAGAGAGTGCCCCTAGGATTTTGGTCCTCAATTTGGAATGGATTAGAAATCCCATATGTCTGTGTACATCAACAGCTCCTAGCCATGTACACCATACTCCTTCAAGTAGATCCTCTCCCAAAGAAACAGCACATTATGGTGAGAATGTCCTTTCCTTTCAAGGGTGGACTGAGAATCTGTTCCATCAACTCACTTCCACTTGTTTGCAGCAGAAGAGCAACCTGTCCACCAGCCCAGTGTCTGTAGATACTAGACACTGTAGATTGTGTAGATATTCCAAATGCTCTGCTCCTGTATCTGTGGCAGCGCCTGCAGCCTGTAGAGAGGGAGTGGAGGAAATGCTCACTAGTATTTGTGAATAAATGCTCTACTCCATTTCTCTTCTTTCAAAACAAGTGGATCTTTCATAAGCTATAAAGATGGACTGAAGGTAGATAATTTTCATTAGCACATTAGTTATACTGTTTCAAACTAAGATGGGTCTGGTCAGGGCAACCAGCCCACAGGGACTGCAGTCTCTAATAAGCCTAACACTGACACCATCTGGATATAAAGAGGAATGAACTGCAGCAGCAAGTGGGATGAATCTTTCAGCATTCATCCTTTGCACTGACAGTTGGGCTGTTCCAAAGGGATCAGCCCTCTGGCTTAGGTAATTGGAAGCCAAGGGGTGGATGACCATTAATAAGCCCTATGGGGTCAGGAATGTGGAAAGACATTTCAGTATGTCTATGAGAGCCTAAGGCAATCCTCACTGCCTTCCAAGTCCAGTCTCACAGGCACTGGCACCCCCTGGTAATCAGGAAACTGATATCTTAGCTCAAGTACAAGCCCTAGCAACAGACTCTTCAGTAGATACAGCAGACTGTGTGCATAAAAAGAGTGGTCATTGTAGTAGCCCAGTGGGATGGCACATTGCCAAGGATGCTGGATTGCCCTTGACCTACAGTTGTGAGGTTAATGTATTAACAGTGTGTCTTATGTGTTCTAAACAGCAATCAAGTAGCTACCACAGGTGTCTGGGGCCATTCAAAAAAGTTCCCAAAAGTGCTGGATTGGAAAATGATTACATAGCCCCCCTTTTTTGAGTGAGAGGTTCTAAATATAGCTTGGAGTGTGAGGAAACTGTCTCTGCCCTAATGTAAGCTTCCCCTGTCCTTAAACAAACCAGGTGGCCACCATGAGGGGGTGAGAGAGCTGAGTGCCATGTATGGATACCCTCGAATAGACAGTGTTGGGGGTCACATTTCAAAGGGCATGGTGTGCCAGGCTGGACAAAAGAATGTGACAGTGAATGGTGGTCCTATCTCAGCAGTCTCCTGCAAGCAGCAGGTTTTGTAGAAAGGAAAAATGGAAAATTAAAGCAGCAGATTAAATTACTAGCAGATAAAACACTTTGGCCAACTGGATTAAAGTATTGTCTCAGACTTCAATACATTTGAATGATCAGCTAGTAGGGTCTGTGGCCCCCTATGCCAGCCCAGGGAGCCTGCCAACACACACAAAACCAGAAAGATATGGAGGTCGAAGAAGAGCCATTGTGCCTCTTATTTGTGGATTAACGGGCTATGCTGCTGAGAACAGCAAGTTTCATCAGGTCTGGGAAAGGCATTTTATACTGGAATTTTCAGTGGGACATACCACAGAGATGAGTGAATTACCCCTGGTTGAGAAGGAACTTCTCAGTACCCCCTGGGATCCCATCGTTCCGTGGCAAACCCGACATATTAACATGCTCTTTACCCCCAAATGGAACACGCACCATGGAGAGAAGGGAGAAGCCGGCAGTCCTGGTCTGGCACATCCTGCCCCCAGCCCACCGCCTCACCCTGGCAGTGCTGCCTCCCCTGGCCAACATGGACACTGTGCACAACCAGGCCAAGCTCCTCTCCTTAAGGCCGGGTGGATGTGTTCTGTTTTCCACCTGTACAATCATTTGGCCGCTGTCTTTGTCTCCTCCACGGCCTGGTGGACATTCTAGCACATACAGAAGTTCTCACTGTGTTCACCCTGCAAGACTTGAATGGTAACTAACACAGTCTGTCTTTACTGACACTGGTTTAAATGCCTCTATTGAAAGAAGCGGTCCTCCAAACAGAACGTCCCTGGGCATGGTTACTGCCTCACAAGGAGACACCTGTGCCACTATCTAAAGAGAATGTTTTGTGTTCATACATAATGAGTCTGCTAATGCATCATCTTTATTAAATCACATGAGGTCACAAGTAAATACACTGAGTGATCTGACCGCCAGCCTAGGGAACTTAATAAATCAATGGTTCTGATCGCAGGGTCTTGGTAGAAAAAATTGCTATGTATTTTGGGAATCATTATCTTAATCTGTGTTTCACTTGCATGTGTCTAAATTGTTACTAAGGCCTCTGTTTATGATGCAACCAGGGTGCAGCCAGATTGCTGCCAAACGAGCAACCTTGACACTAATAAAACACCTTGTTGACACACAAGGGCCTATTGAGGAAGAGGTGAGCGTGGAAGATAGGAAGCGCCAGTGGAGGGGTGGAATGTTGGAAGAAGTCATTAAGAGGATGTGACCACTGGTTGTCCCTTAAGGTAGACACTGGGCAATCAGAGGCTCCTCCTACTCTCCTCTTGACCTTGGAATGTATGCCCCACCCACCATTCCCACCCTGGAGCTCTTTTCAAGGGTTTAGCCTTGAGAGGAGGGTGTTTTGACTGCCTGGACTCAATATGTTACTGAACCCAGTTAAGGCCTTGCTTATAAGCCTTAAAGATTCTGGCAAATGGGTTCAGTGATCTACTCGTCTCCCAGCGGCAGACTAAGACAAGTCTTGTTATGTAGTTTCGTTGCTTATTAAACCTGCCACCTACCAAACTGGAGTGGTCTGTGTCTTTGATCTCTCCCTACCCTCTGTGTAAGGGGGCCAGTGTGTGAACTGATAGGTAACCAGAGACAACTTTGCATATTTGGACTTACACGCTGTATCTCCATGTTTTATGTCAAAGCTTATTTTGAAACTATTTTAATTCAAAATTGATGTTTATGAATTGGTATTATCTGAATCACTGTGAGAGATTTTCATTATAGCTTAGTACTTACCATTGTAAATTCATGGCTATGACAAAGCATGGGTTTTGCATTCTACAGTTATTCGATTATTTAAAACTTTAATTCATCGCTAAGTTTTGGTAAAATGTCTAGTTATAAAATCATTATCAATTAGAAAAAATGCATGACATTTTCCTAATGTTTGCTATTATACCCCAATTGGTTTTGCTCATTTACTTCTTTTTTAAATTTTATTATTTTCTGTTAATTTTTCCATAGCTTTTCTTTCTTGTCATCATCCTTTTAAAATCTAGCCTTATTTTTATATATCCTTAATTTTATACAAACTCACCAGTAACCTTGTGTGTTTTTTCTGAACTCACCACTCTTACAAACAAATTTCTTTAAATATATAGAAAACAATCACCAGCTTTGGAAAATCTTTCCTTTGATTTTGTTTTTCTTTATTAGCTCCATTTCATTCTTTCAAAAATAAGTGGGTCCTTTAAAGCTATAAATATGGACTGAAGGTTGATAAGTTTTCTTAAGTACAGTAACTGTACTATTTTAAACTAATAAGACATTTCATTTGCCATGAAAAGGCTCATAGAATAAAATTTCCTCCCTGGAATTATTCATCTTTCATTTTACCTAAATTGAAATTTTAAAAAATGTTTCTTTACCTTATTTTCTAGATGTATTATTTATTTTAAGCATAAATCAAATAAAAGAAAAATGATACTTAAATATGAAACCACTTATTTTACATTTTCTCAACTATTAAGATTGTGAAAAATCTGTGATATTCATTTAAAACAGTTTTGTTACCAAAATTAAACACTATTTAAAAAGTAGCTTCAGCCCTGACCAGTGTGGCTCAGTTGGTTGGGTGTCATCCAGCAAAGCCTGAGGTCGCCAGCTCCTGGTCAAAGCATATGCCTGGGTTGTGAATTCAGTCCTGGTCAATGTGTGTAGGAGAGGAAACCCTCTCTTTTTCTCCCTCCCTTCCCCTCTCTCCAAAAATAAGTAAATAAAATCTTTTTTAAGTAGCTTCTGCAGTGTACCCAGAATTATTTTTCCAGTTGACGTTAGAACATACTAGGTTTTGCCAAAGCATAAAACACAGTGTCATGACTATAGTTGTCGAGTGGGTGATAGTATCAACGCTAAGCATAACCAGGTGCCATACATTAACAGCAATCTACATAGGAGACTCATTTTTAAGACCACAATTTTGGTCTAAAGAGTGGGTCCAAGTCCTGACTTTGCCACTTTGCTTTAATTCAACTTATTTTAGTTATCTGGGCCTGAGTTTAATTGGCATAAAAATGGAGATTTACAACTGAAGACTATCATAAAGATTCAAAAATCTTCTATATACAGACTATTTAACATAGTACCTGGCACATAGTGAGCATTCAATGAATAGATGCTAATGTTATTATCAGGCCATTCAAATATACTTGATCAAAATTAATGAAACTGAACAAATCACAAACAAAATTAATTCTATTTAATACCAAAGTTGGCAGCATTACTAGTATTTACACTTTGGGCAAGTGAAAACAGCTCGGCACCGTGCTCAGAGGAGGTAGCACAGTGAGTTATTATTACTGTCTCAGGATGGAATAAAACAGGCAATGATCGGGGCTGCGGTTGACACACGCTCTTGCTTTAAGAGCTGAAACAAGGTTTTAAAGTGTGTATTAATCTGGTCAGCAGCAATAGCTTTCTTTTCAGTGTACTTGGAAGAATCACTCATTCAACAAATATTCTTTGATTGCCTGTTATGTGCCTGGCTGTGTTTACCTACCATGCAAAAGGAAATACCTCCTTTTTATACTCTGAATACTTTCCTTTTCCACAGACATTTCCACTGGGCCTGGGAGATGGGCAATTCTATGCATGGACAGATGGTTTGAGAAGAAAAGACTGGCATGACTATGAAAGCATTCAGAAAGAGGCTATGCGCTCAGGTATGGAGTTCAGTGTGAGCTACTTCACTTACTGCAGTGTCTCATGTGTCACTTGAAGGATCTCTAATTAGCATTTCTTCTGCCCAGTAAGGTATGTCTCATGGGGATATTGGAGGTCCACAAGGGACAGAGCTAAAACAGTTTCATATTTCAGAGAGAAAACAAATAATAGCCCTTATAATATTAGCTGAAGAAGTCATTAAATTTTTAGAAATCTGTAGTACTTTGTATTTCCAAACTGCTTTTTAATAATTTCTGGGAGATCTTGGGATTTATTAGTAAGAATTGGTGGACATGTATCTTGAACTGGATTGACTCCCTAGGGCTGGGGGATGATTCACTGGTAACGAAATGTATGAAAGAGGTACCACATTCTGGACACTGGCAGGGACACAAGAGGTGGGTAGATCACATGAGCCAGGGATCTCAGGTTGGCAAAACTTGGACAAACAGAAAGGCAGTTAAACCTAATCAAGCAGGTCTGTACATGTGTAGCAGAATTTTATTCTTGGGTTATAGGTAGAGGAAACATTTTGGTTGCTGGAAAAATTAAGGGGAAAGAACAAGTTTTTCTAGGTCTGAAAAATTAGCATGCTGAAAACAGGGACTCTGTGAAAGACAAGTACCATATGATCTCACCTTTAACAGGAACCTAAACAACAAAACAAACAAACAAGCAAAATATAACCAAAGACACTGAAATAGAGAACAGGCTGACAGTGACCAGGGGGAGACAGGAGGGAATTTCAGGGGAAAAAGGGAAGGGTTTGCAGGAACAAGTATAAAGGACACATGGACAAAAACTAGAGGGGCTGGAAATGGAAGGGAGATGGGGAGGTCTGGGGGGGTGGGCTGGGATGGGAGTAAAAGATAGAAAACTGTACTTGAACAACAATTAAATTAAAAGAAGGCTCTATAAATAGAAATTGATAAAAGTGAGTCATGGGAAGTCCACATTCTATTATTTGACCAAAGGAGCTCTAGCTCTAGTGTTTTTTTTCATAGTGAGGATGTCACAGAAATAGAGAAGTTATTGTTTGGTAAAGACATCTGAGCAGCCCTGAGATACTGCATTCCTGGTGACTCAGCAGCAGAACCAGGACCAGCCACAACGTGAGGTCCTGCTGCTCTACCTTCCTCATAACTCACCCTGTCGGGAAGTCTGGTGTGATGGTATTTTAATATTTATGACATTGTTCAGGTTGGTGAAATGTTCTGAGCTCTGAGTTGGGTGTGGATGATCTAATTATCATCTTTTTTAATTCCTTTTCCTTAGGTCACACCCCTCACTCCTTACCTTCCCCAGCCTTCGCTAGACCTGCTGTTCCCAAGGATATCCTCTATTCCTTAGAGAATCTTTCTCTTCTAAGTTTCATTGTCTTTCCGCCTCGGCCTCTCCTCGTAAATAATCATGAGGATGCGTTCATTACCAGCCTTCTCACTTTTGGAGCTTTCTTACCTTTTTTTCTCTATTTGCTTGATCAGCTCTGTAATAATTCAACCATCAATTCCCCTTTTGAACCACAGAGTGCTGAAAGATTTTGGAGATGTTTATATAATCTAATTAATTGAAGTTGCAAAGTGTTAGTAATAATAATAATAATAATAATAGAATAAGCTAATTTTTTTGCATAGATGTTTTGTGCTAGTACTTTACACATGTATTTCATTTAAACCTCCAAATGAGGTTAATAGATAGGTTTTATTATCCTCAATGAGTTAAAAAAAGCTAAATTCTTATGTATTCATTAAATTTTATCCAAGGTCAAACAGCTAATAATTTGCAGAGCTAGATTATAAGTCAGGTCTTATCACGCTCCTTTACACACCACTGTCTGACCTTGAATAATACCTGGGCAATATGAAGTAATGACCTGTGGACATAGGAGAGACATGCCTGGTATCATATCCTGGCTTCTCCATACATGAACTAGGTTCAGCGGCAAATCAATTTATCTTTCTTATATTCTACTTTGCAGAATTGCTGTGTAGATTAAAGATAATATACGTCAAGTAATTAGCCACTTATTTGGATATAAGCTCAGCTAATGATAACTGTCATTGTTAATTCACTGAAGTTACTTTCACTTGATTTGTGGTGCTTACCCTTCACTGTGCCAAGGAGTCTTAGATATAAAATCCAGAACATCACATTTATTTCCACTTCATACTGCCCTTTCTGCTCCCTGGATGAACCTGTCTTTTATAGCCTCATTCTCAGGCGAGGCAAGGGAAATTGACCTCAAAAAAAATTGGTAATTATTAAGTATTCTAAAGTACAAATTTTCATTGGAATTCAAAAGTTTTTAAATACTAGTATGTTGTAGTAGTCACTCGATGATATATGACAAATGCAGTAGACAATAATTCATCATTTTTTAAATATCATAAAATATAAAATAAAAGAAGTAAATACACACAACACACAGAGTACAGAGTCAAAATAATCCTCCCTGTTCTCAATATCCAGGTCCAGAAAAAGGATCATTTGTGCCATTCTGTCTCCTCCGAGTCTTGAGGTTTGTGTTTACTCTTATTTCTCTCTGTAGAAGCTTTTCCTCCCACCTATATATTTAGTCTTAAACAAATATGGTTGCATTTTGCCTGAGATTGATCTTTATTTAAAAATTGATTTATACTGTATGTATGATTCTCTTCTCTCAAAATTATTATTTTTAATTTTTTTCCTTTTTATTGAACTTGAGGATGACACTGGTTAACAAAATTATACAGGTTTCAGGTGCACAATTCCACGACACATCATCTGTACACTGTATTGTGTGCTCACCACCCAAGTCAAGTCTCCTTCTATTACCATTTATCCCCCCATACCCTCCTTTTCCTCCCCACTCAAAATTATGTTTGAGATTCATTCATGACAATGCATAGAATTTTATTGATTCATTTTTACTGTTGTTTAAATTTCTACAACATCATTCTCTTCACAGACACTTGGGGGGTTCCTAGGTTTTGGTTATTACATACAGTGTTATTATAAGTATTCATGCGTGTGGTTCTGGGGAAGAGGCAGTATTTTCTTAGGATACATATTGAATAGTGAATTTTGTGTGTCTAAGGAATGCATATTTCAGGTATGTCCTGTAGTCTAGGACAAACTGTTTTCCAAAGTCAATATACTGATTTCACTCTCCTCAATAGTGGATGAAATTCCCATTGCTCTAAATCCAAGTGAACCCTTAGTAGTGCCTGACTTTTTTCCCTTAAATCAGTAGTATGATGTAATCTCTCACAGTCACTCCATTTTGCATGGTCACTTACATATACTAAGGTCTAATGTAGTTGATGTATTTTTCATTCTTATGAGTTGTTTGTGCCTTCTTTTTGGTAAAATTCCCATTTCTACTTTTAATTTTTGAATTTATTTCTCTTCCTTATTGATCCACAGAGTGCTCCTAGTTTATTGTAAATATCCTTTAGTGGTTGTATGTGGTGAAAATATCATGTTACATATTTTGTAGACTTTTTATAAAATTTCTAGAAGTTCTTAATTGTGATGTAGTCAAATTTGGAAATCTTTTTTTAAGGATAGGTCATACTGATGTTGTATATTATCTTTCAAAAGCTAGAGTACATTATCTTTTATATTTAGGTTTTAAACCCAATTGGTCTTCATTTTATTGATGTAAGAGGGGGATTCAATATTTATTTACTTTTTATCCATTTAGATAAACTAAAACAGTGCTGCTTATTGGAAAATGTATCTTCATCACTCAGCAGTGTTGACTATTATATATCAAGTTTTCATATTTGTGTTTTCTCTCTGGTTCTTAATTCTGTTCTAATAGTAAAAATCCCTGAGCTAATACCATATCTTATATATACTATGTTTTTATAATGATTACTGATGTATGATAAAATTCATTCTACTTTCTTTGCTCTTCTTCCTTGAGAATCTACAGCCATTCCTAACATTATGCCTTTCTTTAAAATTTCCACTCAGCTTGTCAAATTTTTCATATACATCCATAGGTAAACCAAGTTATTTAAATTTTAGAGTAATGGTGTCTTTATAAATTAGGAGATAAGTGACACTTTTCAATATTAAATAATCGATTCTATAGTATACATTGTATTTATTTGCTGCTTTTTCATTATATTTAAGGACACGTTTGTAATTTTATTCTCAGACACTTTGTTGCTATCCCTGGAAAATTAATGTGGATATCATACAAGTTGATTTTATTGAAATTCCACATTGTTTGTTGCTGGTATATAGAAATATTAGTTTTTACTTTTTATCTGAATTTGGAAATCTGTTTTTCTATGAATTATAGTCATTTGCCTATAGGTTTTTTTTTAATTTTAACATAGATATCTACATTGTGATATCTACAATGTAATATCTACAAGTAATGACAGTGTTTTTATTTTTTTCTTTTCATTCTACAGTTTATAATTTTAGTTCGTTTTGTTCTGACATTGCAGTTGCTAGGAATTCTGTGTAATGCTGAACAGTAGGTATTGGTTGCCAGTCTTGACTTGGGATTTTTCTGACAATAGCAAATTAGACACTCTTGTTAAGATTTTTTCTAGCTATCTATTTAATGAAAATGCATTTTACCATTTTTCTTAAGCCTTCTGAATCTGATTTGCTGAGAGACTACAAGTTTTATTTTACTTTTAACCTAAATGAATATTAATTTATTAAAAGTGTGTTTCTTCTATTGCATTTATTGAAATAGACATGATGAATATTATTTAATCTTTTATTTGAGTGAATTATATCTATTGATTTAAATCTGTTGTTTTAGTTGGTTTGCTAATATTTTATTTAACATTTTTGAATCTTTATTCATGAGTGAATCATTGGTCATGAATTATTTTTTCTCATGAAGTTTTTGCAAATTTTGGTGACAATGTAATGACAGCTTCATAAAATTACTTCAATAATGCTTCCTATTTTCTATACTTTGTAATTATTCATTGTGTATTAGAATTGTTTATTTATTAATAATTATAGAAATCTTGTGGGTGAACTA